TTTATTTTTATTGACTAAGTTTCTGAGGTGCATAGCAACATGGTCGAACTGTTGCCGCATATACATACTCGACCCCTTTTAGATAGCCGTATGTCGTGGTGGCACCAAAGATGTCTCCAGTTGGCAACTACCGATTGAGGCTTCTGTGTGCGTGACGTTAGTTCATCCGTGCCGCGTCAACCGAGTGAGACATAGGTGCCAAAATAGCAAAGATTATCTGCTTTCTATTACTTTCTCGGTTACTGAGAGGCTGGCATTCTTTATTGTTATGGCCTACGGCCAGGGCATCGTATGTTACCGAATTCATTAGTTTAATTCATCATCATCCGGGTTCAAATCCCGCAGTAGACATCCAACTTTGGTGATACACAACTTCACTGTCATCCGGCACATTATTGCAACCATAGGTGGTAGTGGTTCAGCACTCCCAGTCCTAGGGCTTAAGTTGTCGGTTATCTTGAGCTACTCTGGGATGAGGTATTATGGAGTTTCCCTTATCTGTTGTTCATCAAACAAAAGAAGGAAGGATAGTTCGCTGAACATGCCTGACGAGCGTATCGATGATACACAACAAAAAGCTTGGTTATCAAGGTATGTGAGAGTGTGATCTCTAGGTCTGGATTTGTTTAAATACATCGCATTTGAAATCAAAAGTATGTTCTAAAGGTTCGTGATGCATTAGTCATTTAGTATCTCTCTCTCTCTCTCGCCCAACTAGTTACCCTCTATGCTGCACACTCAAGACGCTCAGTGTATCTAAACCATCACAGATCAGTCATTTCTTTGTTATCATCTTCACTTTTTTACCCTCACGTTTCGTTCACTATAAGAAGTGCTATTTAGCTAACTTGTGTTCTCATGTCGTCAAAGTAGTTTTGTTTCTCAGATGGGCTGGGAATGATCCACAACCGTCATTGCAATAAACAGAAATTGTACTCTCTCTCTCCCTCTGTGTATCCGAAAGAACACTAAGTCTGCCGGAACTCCAAATTAGGGCCTACCCACAATGCACTTGGAGCGCCACGATTAGGGGGCACACTAGTCACACCGCTGACAAAAACAGTTGGTCCGTGGCTGCGGCTCGCTATCGCTCATCAATTATCCCATGGAGAATACAGTGCAATAGAAGTTAAGGTCCTAGCTTGTTTGTCCGCTTCAGTATTATCGATCGAATGAAACCGTATCTGGTCAGAATGTATGATGATATGCCAAAGTGTATCAAATCGCAGAGCAAAATAAATACATTATTTGCTAATTAGAGAGCAGAAAATCGAAAAAGGAAGAGTGCGTGTGCAACGGGGTTAGGTGGATTGATAAAACGTAAAGAGCCCGCTAGACCACATGTACTATTGCATCGAGAGCTTCGCAACGGATCAGACGGACCACCGAGTGTGATAACAAACTGGTTGGTTCACTCCCATATAGGCTTGGTGATTGACCAATCCATTAGAACCGAAGTTACGTGATAAACCTTGTGCACTGGAGCATATGACACACTCCAGTTATTGTGATTCTGGACACCGGATATTCATTTACGCTGGTTCCAATTATAAACCTGGCGAGAACAAAAACTCACACGGAATGTTGGTTGCGCGTAGCAACATGGGAAGGGTCAACAGGTTTCAAGCAAGACAATGTATCTGCGTTCTACGAACCGGGAGCTCAGTTTGCACGAAAATGTCAGGCATTAGGGAAGATTGAGAAACAGTATGGGACGGGGGCTGGAGCGTAACGATCCCTGTTGCAAAACGACCGCCATAAAGCGCCGTCTTGGGTAAAACAGAAGAATGAAGAGCTATTGGTCTCGCGCTGCCACATAACAAACAAAGCATATCATGGGCTGAAGTGCACACGGCATTGACAAACAAGTGGAGAAGCGCGTAGTTTAGCGAGAAAGATATTTCATTCGGTGCGTTACAAACAGGATAAAAAAACAAATAGACTATAGACGTTCCAGTCGGACCGATAACGATCGGAGCACACTGACACATTAAGTATCGTTCTCAGCCAATGGCTAGTGAGCCGTTAGTTATACCTGAGGATCTTTCACGTTTCAACTACTGATCAGTTGATTGTTGCATACATTTCACACACGTCTGATATTAGACTGTGTGCCAACCAAATCGTGGTACAATAATCTTTATAAAAAGAAAAAATATGTTCCATTATTTGCATGTGGGCCGAATACTGCCAGGTTGCCCAAGACAAGGCAGGTGAATTTTCTGGGGGAATCCACAACCGGAGCCTTTGACTAACCAAAGCCTGACCCGCAAGGCAGCGGGGTGGTATGAGAAAACCGCAATCCATTGGGAGCCGGTGTCCAGTTCATCGGATCACACACCTTTCGGACGGGGGTAAACCTCCAAGGGGCTTAACTACACCTCGATGTCCAATCGAGCCGGTGACCACTGCTACAACCGAGAGGGTGTGTGCGGTTCGTACGCCTCCTCTTGGTTGATTTGGGTTCAGGGTTTTTAGCCAACTCCCCTAGGTGAACTATGAGTGGTTCACCAACCCGGTTATAGCCCCGGATGTCGGCTGTTCATCCTCTCACCTCCGACACAAGAAGGCAGTGAGTAGGACTTCTTCAGCAGAAGCTATTTGAGACGCTTGGTCGTATGGGAGCATTTCGTGAGGTGCAAGGGAAGGGTGACCAGCCGCAAACCCAGGCACCCACCCCTGACCACACGGAGAATTTCGGAGAGAAGAGATGAAGCCACATTGCAACATGACAATGAAGACGTTCACAGCTCAGTGGTTACAAAATGCCAACTGTTGTTCCGTGGGATTAGGATCCGCTAATGGCCAGATCTAAACCCGACTGAGACCTTGGGATAAAGCTTGCTCGCCAGAGGGTACGAGAATTTCTTGGGTTATCAATCAAAAGACACAATGGAAAATCGTCCTTAAGTGAGAATGAGCGAGTACTGACGAAGCAATCACTATAGGTCTCGTAAGAAAATTGTTAAAAAAAAAGGGAAATTGAATTTGAACGGTGCCCGATTGGTGAGGTATGGGATCAAAAAAGGGACAAATATTGACCAGTGTGTATCACGTGACCTTTGGCTGTTGTACATCGTTTGTGCAAACAAACAAACGAGGAACCTACTCGATGCACAACTGTATCGCACCCCCGGTAACTATGCTCGCGATTCCCCTGATTGGCATGGACCCTACGGCCTCGTAAGTCACATTTGTTTCTGTTAGGACTAGAGCGGCAAACCTCGGACAAAAACAGAGTGGTGTCGTCGACGTCCTATGAACTTCGTATGAATCAGATTGAACGAGTGGTGCTAATTGGAATAAAATGTGAGCTTATATATTTTAGGCCAATCATATTTCAGATCATGAAAACCAACACATTGCATGAAACCAAACAACTTCCCGCACGGCAACAGAACCCACGCGACCTTGCAAGGTCGAAATACTTTGTGTCTGTTTACCCCTGTCCATTCGATTTCTACACATGTAACCTTCGACGTTATAACACGCCAGTAGGTATGTAGCTTAGGAGGAGTTACAAGGATTTAGTAACTAGCATTTAAAGCTAAAACCTTGCTCTGCATGACATAACCCCACTGTTTCACACAGTGACCCCGATGCATAGCACATGCCAGGCGCGACGATCCGAAGAATCGTTTTCGACAATCGAGCATCGATCGATCGATCACCAATGGAATTTACTCATTGGGTTATTGAGGACTTGGACTGAATCCAATCATCCAAACATTCATGTCTGGGCATGATCGATTTATCGATTCATCTTGATGTGATTCGCTTCCTGACCCGACCGGCAGACGTCAATTATTGCCGGGTTCGTTCATTCGCATCAATGACACACACTGGATCAACGACCACGGACACAACGCTCCGGATTGGGCCGGGGGGGAGGGGGAAGGAGAGAACGGCCCAAACCCCCTCACCCAAACTTTGAACCTCGTGCAGTAATTCACTCAAAAAAATACTTTTGTTTGTTTACGGAGAAGTTCATTCACATTAGGACTGGACGGGGTTTAGACAGACCCGGTCCAATGGGTGACGTTTGACGGCGGAAACACCACAGCATCTTGTCGAGATTCCCAGTGGAATGCGATTGGGTGGATTCACTTAAAGTTTAAAAGGTATACAGTTGTGAGTAAATTGTTCCAAGGGAGCAGGTTCGACATGAATAACAAGTGATTTACCACAGACCCAGAGAGGGAGAGAAAAACGACCCCGACAACATCAAATGATCTGGTACTCACTTGTCGTCATCAGATTTCTGATGTTTACCGTTCACTTTCCGCCAGGTGGTGTATGAAAGTCGACCGCACTTCTCGAGCTCATCGAAAAACTCACCACCTTGACGTTGTCGGTTTCGTGGGATCACAACCACTATTTGTTGGTGACCACGCTTGAGGAAAAAGTCCAAAGCGAGTTGTATTCCCTGAGGACTGAAGGTCTGATGATGGCCGTGACTGGAAACCCGGGAATAAGGGAGAATGTATGGTGATGCGTGAGTATGAAGAGTGTAATATATTTGTGTGTTTGTGGGAATTCTGAAGCATTTTGTAGTATATAAGCAAGTTTACTTATAAGGCGAAACTCTTCCGAAGAACAGGTAAGTCAGGAGACAAACACTGCGCACACATTTCGTATACTCTCATCGGTCACCTATGTATAACATTGAACAAGATTGACAAATGAAGGGAATTAAGAAATCTAGCTAGGTTTAATCGTGTGTGTTTCTGTAGTGCGTGTGATACCCGTGTGATGCCCTGATTACAACCAGGGAAGATCAAGGGTAAAGGTCATATGCTTTTGGACACAAAGCGGGTTTGTTGTGAGCGATCGATAACACCTCGAGTAACCTTAGTCGGTGTTAGTCACAATGATGTAACAAAACCGAGAACGCGTTCGCAAGGTCTGCCTTGTTATCGCTTTCAACCAAGTGGCGTGCGATCGCCGAAGTCTGTTTACGTGATGCAGTCAGAATCTGTGATGTAGGCTCAGTCATTGATTCATGCACGAACTAGGGATGTGTTCAGCCATCTTAGGTCGCAGTGACTGGTCGGTTCCACCACTGATGTATGGTTCGTTGCAGGCGCAACAGAAGGCGCAAATGCAATCAGAGAGGTGGACTGGACTGAGTGGCCATCTATGAATGAGGGAAGGGGAGAAGCTGTGACTGGATGGATACGTAATGTGGCAGCACAGTAGGTTCCTTGTAAAGCGTTTTCTGTGCGCTGTGTGATAAGCTGTATGGTTGAATCCTCTTTGTGTGACAGATAGATGTGGATGTCCTTTTTAGACACCCGATGAATATTTGATTGAGTCAGATTTCTTGTCCGATTATGCAAACGAACAAAAGATTCCGGATAGTCATTTTCCCCTAATGCGTTATAAATATTCTCCTGTTCTTTTACTATTGTGTCCTTCGTACATATTTTCTCGCTCTATGGAACAACGTTCGAACCGGGGCTTTCTTAGTGAGAAACTGTTGAAGTGAAGATACTGTCCGGACCAAGTCTTCTTGTGGAAGATTGTTTATAGAACCGTCACTTTTACGGGTTATTAGGACATCGAAGAAAGCTAACGAATTTTCCTTCTTTATAGGTGAATTTCAAGTGGCGACGTGATGCTTTGAGTTCATCCAGCAGTACAAACATATCGTCAGGCTGACTGATGGGAAAAACATCACCCATGTATCTTTTGCAGAAAAATGTTTGCTTCGTTGCCTCATCGTAGCGTACTTCAATCACACAGATGACGTCTACGGTTTCGTGTAAGGATACATTTGTAAATAATGTCGTGACATCGAAGGAACACATTGTTTTACCAGACAGATTCAAACTGGACAAAATATCACAGAGTTGAAAAGAGTCACCTAGTGTGCCATTGCAAAGTGTTTGTGTATCGACTGAAAGTCTTCCACGAGCCACTGGGCTAATTTGTGATACGGCGAGTCATGCATAGATAACATGAACCAGGTGGTAAAGTCATCAAATTATCACCCCGGGGATGTGTTCGAATCCCACCACCACCGCCTGACTTTCCTCATTATATGTGCCGCTTATATTGGCCGCTTCCTCCTTCCTGAAAATTGTATCTTTGTGTACTCAATGAAGGGAAGTAAAACGAAAAGATAGATAGCTTATATATATATATATATATATATATATATATATCGTGACTTGATAAGTCACGTGTTACGTCGGTGTTGGTATGTTCACTTTTAATTCGTTTTATGAAACTGAATATGAAGACATAAAATTCACGGATTAACGACAATAAACTTACCTGAACGCCACATTGTTCCCGTCGATAAATACTGGTCGCAACTCATCTGGATTAGGCGGAGGCTCCGGCACAGTTGTCTGCAATGTAGACGGTTGAGCATCATTCACGGGCTTGAGAGGTGTCGTTTTTGGGGCTAAACCACCCGCTTGTGTCGAAAGAGAAAAACAAAAGTATTATTGGGTAATTTTTTTCTAACTAGACTAACTAAACGAAGCAATAGTCCAGTACACATACGTTGACTTGATACTAAAATACTAAAAAAGACACATCTGCCGGTGAACAACCTAAACNCTTATCTCCTTGGATGCATAAGGTTAAGGGCCGATCCCGAAAAGCGGACCGATAATCAACGCACCAGCGAACAACACGCTGAACCGAAATTCAAAGGCCTTGCGCGACAGGTCTCTAGAAGCTCCCACACGGATGCTTCGTTCACGCTCCCGCGTTGGATTTACACCCCACTGCCTTGTTGGTCAGACTTTTGAGTCTAAGGCTCCGGTTAGGGTTCCCAAAGAAAGACACTCGTTCGTCGGTGTGGGCAGCCATGAAGTATGCAGTGCCCTAAAGTCTTAGGAACCCATTTGGAAAAAACTCCTTCCGATCTATCTAGTTCTTCCTATCAATTCCGAATAATCCCAGACGCCTCCTGTTTACGTCACCCATCGAATATCACAGAGCGAAACAATCAGAAGTTACAGGATTTTTTAAGCCAAATTTCCCTCTTACTTAGCAACGGTCAGTGTCCGCACACTCTATTAGATTGGTCCGCAAGCTGCCTTGGCTAGGATCCTTGGAACTTTCAATTTATATGTATGCTTTGTCTCCGAAACACGCATACAATGCTATACTTCAGTCGTTTCCCTGCGTTCTCCTAACCGAAACTCGACCTCACGCTTCACCCTCCGTGTGTCAGGCGATCCGGTATCCGAAGCTCGCGGTGTTGCTGGTGTCGGGATTGTGCTGAGTGCCAAGGCTGAGCGTTTGCTCCTTGATTGGATTCTAGTCAGTAGCAAATTATGCGCTGTACGTTTCACAGAACGAAGCGTCGGTGCTTATTCGTCGTATCGGTGTATGCCCCGACAGATTGCAGTGCACCTGAAATGAAGGATACATTCTACAAGGATCTCTCCCAGCTGCTCTAAAGTGCTCAATCAACGGACGTCGTAGTAGTCGCCGG